ATGCTCTGGGAAAACAGAGAACTCAACTCTCCATGTGAGAGGAGAACTCCGAATTCAGAAAAAGGGGTAGCGTGCTCATAGGCAACCCTCTGATAGGGAATTCAACTCCTCAGAAGGGGAGAGAACTCGAACGCACAGAAGCAAGCACCATGCTCACAAATAACCCTCAACAGTGAGGGGAGTGATGCTTTAAAAGTGTGTCAACAGAGACACACTAGTTGAGTGGAGCCCAAGGCGAGTACCGGGGTCTAAGCCAACTCAGAGAAAGGGAACGAGGCTAATAACGTGTAACCCTTACCATACATGATTTTAGAAAGTGCGCAGAGTTCTTAGCGTGCACACTTACCACCATGTGGATTTTACAATAACTGCAGACAGATCCACACTATACATTTCCTATATAAACAAAAGGAAATTACTGATAGGGAGAAATTTCCCGTCAGGTCCTTTCCATGTTCTCACCGCAACACGCAGCATGCATTCAGCTCCCACCCAAACGCTAAATTACCTCAGAAATCAAGCGAGCCTCCACACTATACATTTCCTATATAAACAAAAGGAAATTACTGATAGGGAGACATTTCCCGTCAGGTCCTTTCCATGTTCTCAACGCGACGCAACGCGTAGCATGCATTCAGCTCCCGCGGGAGCTAACCACGCTCCGCCCAACCACTAGATTACCTCGGAAATCAAGCGTGAACGAAAACTGCTGCCACGAATGCATCGCTATTCCCGTGAGAGGCGAACACACTCATGCAAACGCTATCTACAAACTCGGGTAAATGGTGAAATACTCACATCCCCCTCAGTAGTCCCACGAATGCATCACAATGAGCACAGGTCTTCTCCTAGTGAGACGAGCGCATTCAATTCATGCTTATCCCTCACAAGAAATAAGCAATGAATGCAAAGCGCATCCAACTCCCTCGAGAGCTTAACGCGCTTGCTCTTCACCACACACACACACACACACACACACACACAGCACACGAGCCGTGTGAAACTGCAGGTATCAGAGCAAAGCCTCTGGCGAGAAACATGCACTCCTATTTGTGTTTAGCTTAACGCTAACATAAACAAACGGTCAGTTTGAAGATGAAGAAGAGGATGACGTGTTCTCCCGGCGCCTATTTATACTATAGTCGCACCGGTAGTGACGTCATAGGCTGTCGCCGGCCAATGTTATTGTCGTTTTTAGATATATGCTTCAGACACCGGTCACACTGAAGATGCTTCCCATAGCGACCCCTAGAGGACGCAGTTCGAAGTTCCCTTGAAAGGGAACTATGCCAACCCCAAACAGTAGTTTATATATAAATTTTTAATGTTTATATATTTGTTTTTTAAATTTCTTTACGTGCAAAGGGTCATTTTTTTCAGGCAGTTCCTGCCAAATGTTTGACTAGTGGGTCTATTAAATATTAATTACATTGATGCATAATTAATATTCATGAACCTACCTTTTCAGATAATTTCTACACTATTGATCATAAAGAGGTTGAAATACTTACTAAGAAAGATGCTTTCCAATCAGCAATTTCACAGTAAATAGTTTTTAACTTCAAAAGTAGAATATTCAGATTGTATAACATATGTGACCCTGGAGCACAAAACCTCTTAAGTCTTAAGTCGCTGGGGTATATTTGTAGCAATAGCCAAAAATACATTGTATGGGTCAAAATGATTGATTTTTCTTTTATGCCAAAAATCATTAGGATATTAAGTAAAGATCACGTTCCATGAAGATATTTTGTAAATTTCCTACTGTAAATATATTAAAACAATTTTTGATTAGTAATATGCATTGCTAAGAACTTCATTTGGACAACTTTAAAGGATATTTTCTCAATATTTCAGCCAAATATTGTCCTATCCTAACAAACCATACATAAATGGAAAGCTTATTTCAGCTTTCAGACGATGTATAAATCTCGAAATTTACAATTTCGAAAAATTGTCCCTGGTTTTGTGGTCCAGGGTCACATATATAGCTTTAGAATAGCAACTCTTTCTTACCAATGAGCGAAGATGTTCTGAGGTGCTTGTCACACGCCATACTCCCTCCAGGTAGTGTTGTGCATGTAGAGGAAGTGGAGTGACAGTGGCCAAACAGGTTCGTTTGCCACACACTCTCGCTGCTCCATCTTGATTCCAACCCATTTCCTGCGTTTTCTCCCTGGACTGTGGACCACATGGATGCCCGGTGAGTTTTTGACTGCTAGAAACTGGAGAACACTGTGTGGGCCATTCCCAGGAAGCAGAGGGTGAGATGGAACTGTGAGATGCCACACGTGGTGGCAGCAGGCCAGAAAGGGGTCCGGGCTGCAGGTCAGGCATGTCGTCGAATGCCAGCCCCAGGGCAGAGTGGAGTGCCAGGCGCCTCAGGTGGTGAAGGGGGGTTCCACACACTTCACAGCTGCTTTGGGCACCGCAGCCCCTCGGAGGCCATTCCACAGTCTGGAGCTTGTCAAGGAGGAAGGCTGCAAAGCTCGGGTCCTGCAAGGAAAGTCAGAAACATGACAAGTTTTTACAGCACAGCTGCTGAAAACGTCTTGGTTTTGCATTTTGTTCATGCATTCTGGTTAAATTAACAGACTGATTATATTTTCAGAGCTTGTGCATAAATATTCTCCATTCACAAAGCAAAAGCTGGGCTTAATTTATAGTTGATTAGCTTGTCAATCATATGCAACATGGTATGATACAAGTAATAACCAGAGGCGGCAACACAGGCCACATGTTGTGTGTGGGAAGTCGTGGCCTAATGGTTAGAGTCGGACTTGTAACCCAAAGGTTGCAGGTTTGAGTCTCGTACCGGTAGGGATTGTAGGTGGGGGGGAGTGAATGTACAGCGCTCTCTCCC